TGCAACCGTCCGTCGTATGTTTGAGCCTCCAGTCCCCTCATCATCCTGGTTGCTCTTCTCTGCACTCTTTCTAGAGTCTCAACATCCTTTTTTATAGTGTGCTGACCAAAACTGGATGCAGGATTCTAGGTGTGGCCTTACTAAAGCTTTACAGAGTGGTATTATCACCTCACTTGATCTCCATTGTATCCCTCTGGTTCATACAACTTAGGATTGTGTGGCTTTTTTGGCTGCTGCTGCACACGGCTGGCTCCTCTTTAGCCGGTTGTCCACTAAGAATGCCACCTTGGCGTGTGGCAAGGGGCGTTTTCCATCAAGGTGGAGTGGCCACAGGTGGTATTCCTGGACCCCTCACTGGACTTTTGACTTGCAACTTAAGCCCAGCCCAGATAGTAAATCCACAGCCCTCGGCTTAACGACTACCGCGGAGCCCTGTTGCTAAATGAAACGTTGAGTTTTTTTGCCCCCAAAGGGTTACGACTTTGTGCCGTTTAAGGGATCGCTTCAGACGTGATGTAAGTACAAGTCGGCTGAGTTTGGATCCCCTGACTGCAGGAGGCTACAACGGTCATCCGTGTGAAAGAACTCTTAGTGGCGCTGCGGCTTTTGAGCTGCGTCACTAAGTGAACCCCGTTGTAAGTCGAGGGCAGCCTGTACAGGATGCAGCCGTGCCTGGAGTTGCTGGCGTTTCATCCCCCCCCACTGAGCTGGGGGGTGGGGAAAGGAGCCATTTTCACACATTTTTTTGTGGGTTTATTAACAACCGATGAAAAGGAAAGAAATTCCAAGAAATATCATAATTCTGGGCCCGTTCGAATTGTCAAAGCAGGAGGCCCTTAAGTAGCCTGGTTTAGCTTCTCCATCATCTGCTCCTGGATCCTCTTCGGCAGCTCCGGGTTGGTGAAGTAGTCTGGGAAGCAAAAAGGCCAGGAAAACGGAAGTTTGGGGTGTTTTTCTCCTTGCCTTGGGCTTCTGCGGGTTGGGCTAGATGACCTCCAAGGTCCCTTGATGGCAAATCGGGGGATTTTTTTTAGCCTATTTCGTTTCCCTGCTTTGCTCCTCCAAGGGAGTGTGTCTGTGTGTGACAGGTCCCAGGTGTGCAAACGGCAGAGGGAAGCACTCTGCACATGGTCAGGGGAGCGTGACACACGCCTCCGGGGCTCTCTTTGCCTGACGCTATTCTCCTGCAGGGCTCTTGTCTGCCCTTCTTAGAAGCTAAAATTTTCTCTTGCGAGGCGGTGCTGATTGAGAAACATCCTTGCAAGGAAAATATTATTTATTGCTCCGTTTGGGGGAGGGAAGGAAGGAAAAGAAAGGAGAGAAGACTAAGGAAAGGAAAGAAAGGGAAGGAAGAGAAAGTGAAGCAAGGAAAGAAGGAAAGAAAAAAAAGAGGGAAGAAAGAGAAAAGGAAAGGAGAAAGAAAGGAAAAGAAAGAAAAAGCTGAGAAGGAAGGAAGAGAAAGAAAAAGGAAGGAAGGAAGTTTAAAGGGAGAACCGTTTAAAGTTTAAAAGAGCCGAATCAACTTTCAAGATTCTGTTCAATGCAGAATCTTCAGAAATTGAATTTAAGCAGCCATTGATTTTAGTCTGAACAATCAGCAAGTTATTATTAATTAATCACAACAGGGTTATGCCTCTGTTTGAAACTTTATTTAGCTTGGGAGCAGGTTCTGCTTTGCTTTTTAAATTTATTTATATTTTTTTAAAGCCCTGCTTGCTTGGCCCGCTCTCTGGGGCTCCTTCCCCAGGATTAATTTTGGAGGGGGGGTGTCCAAAAAAACCCACATTAAAGCAGGCATCCTTGAAACCCAGGCACCGTGGTTGGGCATCTGATCGGGGCAGAATAGACGTCCTTGTGGCAAAGAGAGAACATTGGAGGGGGCCGTGAAGCCGTCTGGCCAAAAAGAGAAAAAAAATCAGAATTTTCCACGGTGCCCATCCGATTCCCAGCCAATCGGCAGCCCAGGCTGGTGTGTTTTTGCACGCACTTCAATTGGACACGGACACTCCAGATCTCCCAATGGGGTATTGTTCAAATAAATTTTAATACTCACCTGCCGCAAATTCTCGGATATTCTCTGGCCTTTTCATCAAGACGTCTCTGGAAATCACCAAAGGGCAAGGAGGAGGAGGAGAAGAGAGAAGGAGAAGAAGAAGGGAGGAGGAGGAGAGGAAGAAGAAAAGAAAGGAGGAGGAGAGAGAAGGAGAAGAAGAAGGAAGGAGGAGGAGAAGAAGGGAGGAGGAGGAGGAGAAGAGGAAGAAAAGAAAGGAGGAGGAGGAGAAGAGAAGAAGGGAGGAGGAGAAGAGAAGAAAGAAAGGAGAAGAAGGGGGAGGAGGAGAGGGGGAGGGGAGGGGGAGGAGAAGAAGAGAAGGAGGATGAGAAAAAGGAGAAGAGAAGGGAAAAGGAGAAGAAAGGAGAAGAAGAAGGGAGGAGGACGAGAAGAAGAGAAGGAAGGAGGAGAAGAGAAGAAGCGGAGGGGGGAGGAGGA